TGAAACCTCCCTACTAAACTCATCACCATTTTTTTTTCAGCTTCTTTTCAGCATTTTTGAGTGCTGCAGAGATTTAGACCAGTTTAAGCTAAGTCAGGTGTCCATGCTCTGTGCCACTGCCTGCAGGGTAAATGCAACCTCAATTTTCAAAGAGAAAAGGGGCTCTCCTGGGGGCATTTTGAATATCCAAATAAGCTAAAAGTGTCACAATTTTGAGGACACGTTCCAGTAAATTAGAGGCTTGGTTTATAGAAGCTGTGATATTTTGTGGCCGCTATACAGTGATCATCAGAACATACCTAAAGCTAACTGGGCATAACAAAGTATATTTTAATGTGACACATAAAAGGGGGAAAAAAAATCCCTTTCCATTTCCTTTGTATTTACAAAGGTCAGTGACAGGAGACTTTGCTAGGATCTCCACTTCAAAAGTATCTCTAAAATTTATTTCTGCTCCTGAGTGCTCTCATGGCTTATCTTTTGCCTCAAACGTTGCTTGGGAGTGCTGCCCTGTGACTCTCCCTGCCACATGACTCAGTGTTACGGTGGAAACACTTCCCTTTGGGCTTATGCCGAGATGGGAGGAAAGAGGGTGGCAGGGAGTAGATTGCAAAAAAAATAAGCTTTTAGTTGCCCTTAGCCCACGTGAGAGAAATCCTTAAAAAAAGGAGCAGCTCTCTTACAATTGGTTGAATCCAACACATGGTCTAGATGGCACATACAGGTCGAGATGCCAAGAGGCTTGCGCTGTTCTGCTGTCTTGGACACAGACCGCTGTCCCATTGCCCGTGAGCAAGCAGTGCTACGGTTTGCCTTCAGTGCTGGGGTGTGCTGTAGTAGGACACGCCATAGTAAACTACAAGGACAAAGCGCTTGAACTTGGCACTTAGCGTTAAGCACTTGCTCTCGGCTGTGAGCAGACGTGAGACCCCGCACCTTGGGCTAAGTTGGGAACAGTAAACTCTTCTGCTCAGCAAGCAGCATCTGTTAGCTGGAGACTTCCTGGTGCTGTGAACCACAACCTCTGCTTTAGCAGTATTTATTTCCTTTCTCTGTCTTAAATCTTCTGTCTTAAAGGTTCTTCATCATTAAGGAAAGTTTCCTGCTCTACTATGCTGAGAGTGAAAAGAAAAGTTTTGAAAGCAATAAATACTTCAATATCCACCCCAAGGTGAGCGGTGTTGGCATGGGAGAGGGCGTTATTCTGTTTCTAGCTTCCCTCTGCCTCCATGGGCCCAGCAAATGAAGAAAAGGTAAGCCACAAACTTCTCACAGACCTAGGGAAGCCTCAAAAAAACCCAAGAATCACATCAGTACATCTTCAGGTTCCTTAATGATTTAACAGGTACACGACTTAAGTATTTTTTGTAGCTGAATAGTAGGTATATCCCCTTGTTTCCATGGTCTCCTAATCAACTGTGAGAATACTGTTGGCAGAGCCAGTGGTGGGGGTCACAGCTTTGGCTGCTGCTTTTTCCTCACCCATAAGCAGTCACAGTCAGCCCCTGCTAACCCACACGTGCTCAGCCCCCAAAGCACCCTCCCAGCTCTTGCGGTGGGACTCTGTGGTCTGAGTCTGCTTTTACCCTCTGTGGTCACAAGTGCTTCCAAAGGTGCTGATCCCACCCAGCATGGTTAGAGGCAACAGGTCACACATCCGTCCCCACGCAGCACATGTGGGGTGTTGACCCATCATGGATACGCAACCTCTCTCATGGCACCACACTATGAATCCGCAATGTCCGCCCCTGACAACCTCCTCCTTGATAAAAGAGCTCCTGCTCCCATGTTCTAGTTAGCAGCCTTCCTTCCAAGCTGAATGCAGGAGAGCCACCTTTACCCTACTTGGGTACCACATGGAGGTCTGGTGGTGGTGGGAGTCTGTGTGTGTTGTCCTCCTGGGAGAGCCAAGGCATGGCAGGGGCCTGCAAGTGACCAAAGGTGAACGTTCACCTCCTGGTTAGTTCATAGTTATACTCAATTTTGCTGACTGATTGGAGCCCTCTGGTTTATCCCCAGGGTGTCATACCCCTGGGAGGCTGCATCGTGGAGCCCAAAGAAGAGCCCAACATGCCTTATGCCATAAAGATCTCTCATGAAGACTTCCACGTAAGTAGACTTCTCAACAAAACCCCAAAACCCACCCCAAACACAGCAAAACATTTTATTCCTGATGAGCAGAGCTGGATTTGGCAGTCTTTCCCACCCCACGGGGGTATGCTTTTACCCTCTCTGGGCAGACTGTTCCAAAAGAGTGGCTTAGCATCCCAAGTCCCCTCTGGGCTTTGCTACTGCTCCTGCTTTGACAACCAACAAGGAAACGTGGTCTTTCTGACAGCAGGTCTTAATGATATGAGGACCAGAAGACAGATATTCAGGAGCCCTAGAGCTCGTGCTGCCCTATCATTTCATTCCTACCATGATCGCTTGCCGTGTGCATCTCTTTCCAATGTGTGGTAGGCCTGGGTCATGTTCTCCCCCATGTGTTGCCTCCCACAGAGGTGGAAGCCTGCGGTGGGCTCTCCTCCTTCCGTAGCTGTGCAAGCTGTGTCCGGTTTGTGCCTTGAGCGCACAGAGGTGCGTAAGGCACTGGCCTCTCTAATCCGGGTCTTTTTCCCCTCCCTTCCCCTCTTCTAGGGTAACATTGTTCTAGCAGCTGAATCAGAGTTTGAGCAGGGTCAGTGGCTGGAGATGCTACAGGAGTCTGGAAAAGTGTAAGCTTCTCTCTATTCCTTATTCTCTTTGATCTGCTCTGTAGATGTGTAAAGGATAAAGAGGAAGCAGCCTGACTAGAAGGACTATGGGTGGCAGACAAGCTCCCCAGGACAAGTGATCCCTTCGCTTGCCTCCTAGACCCATCCCTTCCCTAAACAAGAATGCTAAAATTGGCACAAAGCTTCCGGCCTTGGTGTGCGGGATGGTATGCAGTGTGACTCTTTGCTAACAACCCCAGGCTGTCACATGTCAAATGCTGACATACTGAGTGGCATCTGCTGTTCCTCTCTCTTACCTTAGAGAGGTGGCACCTGGGACTGAACAGGAACTCTCCTGATCTATTTTGTGGGGGAAGTGAGGTCCACGGGCTTGACAAAGGTGGGGGTCAGAAAACCTCCCTACACTGTAGATGTATGAATTTGGGTAAGGTAAGAGGAGAACAGTCAAGGCACAAAGCAAGGGAGCAGCTTTCTATGTGGCTTTACACCCTGTTGCTGAGTAGGGACCTCACCAGCCTGTCCCTGCTCTCCTGAGCAGCACCAGTTATGCCGGGGGGTCAGTAACAGCCCTGAAGCAATTGTGTGACCGTGGGGTGTGCATCCCTTCTGCCCAGGTCCTAGGGCACTCAGGCCACACAGCAGCAGGATTTGGCCTCTCAAGACAGTTTAATTCTGAAATTAATTCTTGGGGTACTGGTTGATGAAAAGCTGGACATGAGCCGGCAGTGTGCGCTGGCAGCCCAGAAAGCCAACCG